GTCTAAGAAGATGATATGGTGCTTGATTTCTGGGACCATGTGGTCTGGAGCAATAATTAGAGTTTCTGTTTTATCAGAGTTTAGTTGGAGAAAATTGTCATATAACCATTTGTTGATTTTTGTCAGGCAATTACTTAAATTAGACAATTTATAAAACTCAGACATTTTGAAGGAACAGTATAGTTGGATGTCGTCAGCATAGAGATGATAGGAGATATATTTATAGCGCTTAATAATTTGGCCTAGGGGAAATACATAAAGTAAAAAGAGAAGGACAGATCCCTGAGGTACCCCACACGGCAAAACTGTTGATTCTGATGTCACATGATTCATGCAAACAGTAAAAGATCTCTCAGACAGATATGATATAAACCATTTTAAAACAACACCAGTAATCCCAAACAAGTTCTCGAGTCTGTTTATCATGATACTGTGATCTACAGTGTCAAAAGCAGAGCTGAGATCCAACAGGACCAGCACTGTGTACTCTCCAGAGTCTGCTGCCATCAAGATATCCCTAGATACTCTAAGTAAGGCCATTTCAGTGGAATGCAATTTACGAAAACCAGACTGGAAAGTGTCCATAACAGCATTTTTATCCAGGAAATAGTTAAGTTGTTCTAGTACTACTTTTTCTAAAATTTTCGATATAAAGGGCAATTTGGATATTGGCCTATAACTGTTAGGAGTTAAGCCAACTGTTGTGACAGTTGGCTTAACATACTGAGCCAGGGAATCTACATACACATTGGGGGTCTCAGTGGGGCTACCAAAAAACCATCAACTCTGTCTTTTTATCATTGAATTTTGAAAAGTTAACAGACATCCAAGGCTTAATGTCATCGAGACACTGAAGTAATGGCTGTGTAAGGTATCTGCCTTTTTTCTTTAGAGGGACATAGATCTGACAGTCATCAGCATAAAAGTGGAAAGCAATGCCGTGATTTCTCAGTACAGAACCAAGAGGAAGCAGATATAAAGAGAAGAGGAGGGGGCCTAGAACTGAGCCCTGTGGGACACCACACAAGAGGGGAGCGGAGGACGACACATAGTCACCGAGGCTGACACAAAAAGTTCGCCCCGCCAAGTAGGACCTGAACCACTCCAGTGCTGTGCCCCTAATGCCCACCCAGTGCTCCAAACAAGAGAATAAAATGGCATAATCCACGGTATCAAACGCAGCTGTCAAATCTAAAAGCACAAGAACAACACAGTCCCCAGCATCAGTCGCTAAAAATATGTCATTAAAAACTTTTAAAAGGGCTGATTCAGTGCTATGAAAGGGTTTAAAACCAGATTGGAAAACCTCTAACACATTTTGCTTTTCCAGGAAGACCATTATTTGGCTGTAAACTACCTTTTCAAGAATAATTGGAGGTAATTATAAATAAAGGAGGTAATTGCTTCCTCCAAACCATCAAAGTGTCTTTTAGACCCTATTCATACAAGACTGTTCAAAGAAGTCCTACCAATAATTAATGCTTCAGTCTTAACTATGTGACCCAATGTCTGGACAGCCATCTAAATCAGCTGTGTTGGATCAAGGACACATTTAAAACCTGCAGGACACCGGCCCTCAAGGCCTGGAGTTCGACACCTGTGTCTTAATTCTTATTCTGTAGTATGAGACTCCAACATCTAAGGCAGGGGTGGGGGAACTCCAGGCCTCCAGGGCCAGTGTCCTGCAAGTTTTAGATATCACCCTGGGCCAACACACCTGAATAAAATGATTAGTTCATTAGCCATTTAATTCAGCCAATTCTGTGCCATTTTTTTAAACACTTAACACCAGTGTAGAATATTGTTGACACTGCTTAGTATTAGTCAGGGTTAATCTTTAACTCTGTACAGCGTTAAAATAACACTTTGAAAAGTGCTGATTTAACACTAAAAAGAGTGGACACAGACACTTTGAAAAGTGTTACATTTAACAGTGTCAATTTCACATTGGTGATTTTGTGTACAGCAATATAATTTTTTGGCTGGTCTTAACAACATTCTCTCTCGTTCCCTCAGACTGTGTACTGTTCACCCAAAAGTAAAACACTCTGTTTCACTTCAGCTCATTGTATGTTAGGACACTGCTCTCCTTCGCAGCTCACAGACTAACAACTACACAAGCAAGTGTGGCCCTGATACTTTGTTCACTGCCTCCATGTTACAACTTCCTGCTGGTAGGACATGCCCGGCCAGAACACCTTACCAGGGTGGTGACTGCTTCAGAGGCTCATTTCGATGTGGAGGAGTAGCGGCTCTACTCTGACCCTCCTAAATGACTGAACTCCTCACCCTATTGCTAACAAAGAGCACATACACCCTTTGCGGATGCAAACGGTGGAATGGGAATAAGCTTTTTCCATTCCACCGTTTGCATCCAGAATCTCATTCTTTCGCCTTTATTAAAAAAAAATAAAAAATCTAACAGCTGAGACTGAAGAAGTCACTTGGATGAGTGACAAAACATTTCTCCCAAAAAACGCTACGTCCAGATGAACAGAATCAACTTTTGGAGATAACAATAATAGTGTTAATAAAATGATCAGGCACAGATTTTATTAACAATGATGGTTATGAAAACTATTTACCCCCATTGGGCATCAATTAAAATATACAACATTGGCTAGTACATCTGGTACAGACTAATGAAAATATCAAAGATTAGTCACATACATCCCTAGCAGACGTATTTTAAAAAAAAAAAAAGAAAAGAAAAGATGAGGCTTAGTTAAACTTCTACATCAGCTACAGTCTAAACACTGCATGGCTAATGCATCGTAAGTGTACATACACAACTGAAGTACCATTTTTGTTCAGTGAACTCAACATGTCAGCATGTTCGGATGAAAGACGAGATCTAGTTTATTACTATTAAGTCCACCATCATAGTCGGGAATAAACTTTTATTTTGGTGATGGTGGGGAGGTTAACAATCACATGTCTACAAGTGTCTAGTACATACAGACATATCAGCTGAAGACAGTGAAATCAATCCACAGAATGTGAGGCTAAATTGAAGAAGCAGATGATTATTTTTTTATTATTATTTTTGCTAAATTGCAAAAAAAAAAAAAAACCCAAAAAAAACCAAAACGATATGCATATTACCACTACTCAATTTGAGCGCTCAAAGCGCGTTCAATTACATGCGCCATTCACATATTTCACATTCATAAAAGCGCTTCCTAACATTTACACACAAACTCACACTTCAGTGGATGCCTCGGGGAAAATGACTAACGTTCCAGTTAGTAGACGACCTGCTCTACCTGCTGTACTACAGCCACCCACAGTTATCACTGCCAACGTCAGGCTTCTTTCAGTGCAGAATGCAGGTGAAATTATTACGTTGGTGTTCTGGGCCAAGACATTCTGACGTTAGTGATAAATTTAAGTCCATAATGCTGCTTACAATCTTCCATGGGACAAACATTCACATTATTAAAAACTCAAGAAGCCCATTTTCTGACACTTTTATCGAGTCAAACTAAGATTACTAACACCAAGAGACCAACTGGAAATTTCCTCGAATTATCTCTGGACTTCAGGACATGTGTTGTCTTTGATCATTAGTACTCATTACGCATAATACAATTAGTCTTTGTAAACAATATACAAAAAGTCATGAAAAAAAAAACTGTAAACATTTACTCACGTGCAAATGTTTACAAAACAAAAACACTTAGCAGAAGTCAGTGTAAACGTCTTCAGTATGACAACAGGCTCAAGTTTAGAGACTATGGGTTGAGACAGAAAAGAAAAAAAACTGTTGCTGGAGAGGGATGCGAAACACTAATGAACGACTTTAAGCCATGGCGTGTTAGTAGTATTAGTGGATACAGAAATACATTATGAGCGCGTAGTGCACTGCACTTACCAGACAACTCCAAACGCCCCGTAGCCGATGGGTCTGTCAGGCTCAATATCCAGCTGCTGCTGTAAATGGTGCGTGTGTTGCTGCTGCTGATGGTGGTGGTGGTGGTGAGCTTTGACAGCGGCTGCTGCAGCCGCTTGGACCTGTGCAGGAGCTGCGGCCGCCGCCGGCCCGGGAGCTTGCCCGGGGGCTGGAGACGGAAAGTAGGGCTGCTGCTGTCCGGGGTTTAGCATCACCGCCGCAGCGGCAGCCGTTGATGTGTGCTGCTGGACCGTGTGCACAGCAGCGGCAGAGCCTGGGTGCTGTAAGTGGTGCTGGCCCGCGTGGTGGTGGTGGTGATGCATGTGGGGAGGCGGTAGGTGCTGGAGCTGGTGGTGGTGGTGATGGGGGTGATGGGCAGCTACTGCTGAGGAGCCACCGTTGTAAGCAGCCATCATTTTTGTAACATTTGCAGCAGTTGTACCGCAAAGAGCCATCCAATGATACTTAAATGCCTCCTTTTCAAACTGCTTCTCAAAATGATACTAATGGCAACCAGACAGCAACCCCACGGTTAATACAACTTATGGCAAACATAGAGAAAATATATTTTGTCCTTTAAGCGTCCAAAGTCAATCACTTTGACAGAAATTATCCGATATCTGGTATGGCGTTTTAGCATAATACTAACTAGGCTCTGCCCCACTTCCCCTAAATTAATTTTCTATTAGGTACACCATTAGACTACTGAAGTCTGAAACTAGTGACGGAGAGCATATTATGGGCAATGGACCACCCAAACATACAATCTATGCAGCTTTAACAGTGCCACTGCTGTCAGTGACAAACCGAAAATATTCAATAGGAAAAAAAACTTATATGCACTTCACAGAGACGGTTCTACCTCTCCTCCTGGGAAAAATTCACCTTCCCCTCTTAATAAAACAGTGCGATCTAAAGCAGGTCACATGGGAAGCAGAGCATTCATCTTATAAGTGTTCCAAGTTTGCCACACACTCGGGTCTGGCGCCGTTGCTTTTCTCACCACACGGCTTGAAATCGCATCTGTTATTCCAAACTGAATTCTCCTTCAGATGTGTGCACAGGCCAGACAGCTACTCTGATGGCAGAGGTAATCTCAGAGTCGTAATTAACGCTGCTGATCCGGTGCAGAGGAGGTGTAACCCAGCCAAGGCTACAATACAGCAGCGCAGAGAGGCAGGCAGGCCCGGGCCTCGGCAATCCACCCTATTCACATATTATTATAGCAATCCACCGAGCCGCGTGCTTCCAAAGAAACCCCCATCAGTTTGACAGGGTGACGAAGCTTCGACCATGACTCAAAACACGAGAAGAGAAATCCTCACAGACGGCTGGCAGACAAAGTAATTCCCCCATCGACAGCTTTGTGTGTGTATCTGTATTCTACTCTGTCCTAATACGGCTCAGAAGCGCGCATCCAAACAGACTAACAAGTTAAATCCGTTTGTTGTGGGACAAAATCTACCGCCAGGAGCTAGACAGCCTTATTCAATCTGACAACTCAGAGCTAGCTAATGGGTATCTGTATCTCCACATAAAAATAGCAGTCCCTCCGTTGGTTCCGCTGGGCCTTGACGCTGTCAGTTGAGGAAAAAAACGTCACTCGGCTGATCCTCTACACTTCAAGCTCACGACGCTTATGTGACATGATAAAAGTATTGGTCACGAGGTAACTGAAATGAGCTGTTCATCCAACATGGTGAACAAAACCTTAGCCGCTCAGCGCTGAGATTAGGCAGGGTAGCCAACCAATCGTCTTCCGCACGGCAATGACGTAATTGTAACCTCCTTGATTGTCACAACGAGCAGCCAGTGGCGCGTGTTAGCTGGGGTGACAGCGGGGTTGATAGCTGACCGAAAAGCCCAATGATCTCCACATAGATGCAGTGAAAAACACCGCTCACTTCATTGCAGGAAAATATTCAGAATCCAGACCAGGGATTAAAATTAACTGATTGAATTGAAAATAATTTTAAAATAATAAAATATGATATGACTTCAGACTTACTACTTCTCTATACAAAGGACACTGCTCTATAAAAGAAAAGAAAAAAAAGTGAATTTCTATTTGCTGATGCATTATATGCCTGAAAGCAGCTTCACAGGTTCTGTACCCTTGCCCAGATCTGTCTTGATCTGTGGTCAATTTTGAATGTCATGTCAAAGGATGTGAATACTGGATGTAAGATGTGCATATATGATGATACATATAGATATCATAATAATATCTAATATTTGCAAGAATAGTAAACTTTTTGTCTTCATTTACTGTTGAAGACAAAAAGTCTTCATTATTTGTAGAATTTTTAGGTGAAAAATAAATTGAATACATTTTGGACTAAAGCTGTAACAAACAAAAAATTGAAGCACTCTATATTCTATGAGACACTATCCACAATGAACTTATTAAGAACCCAGCTGTGAATAAACATTCATTTACTTTGTAATGCAGTTCTTTTCTCACACCCAACAATCAAATGACCCCTTTGAACAACTGCTGACAGTGGGAAAGAAAAACTAATTTTTTT